ATGTTCCACATCATATGTCATTAGGAATGGTGAATAAATAATAAGATATCTTCATACCTATTATAATGTCCGAAATCCGAAACACAGACAACACCAAATGCTGATGAGAATGAGGAGCAATGGAAACTCTCATTTATTGCTGGTGGGAATGCAAAATGCTGCAGCCACTTTGGAAGACAGTTTGTCAATTTCTTACAAAACTAAACATATGCTTACCATATGATCCAGAAGTTGTGCTCCTTGTTATTTACCCAAATGAACTGAAAACTTATGTTCACACCAAAACCTGCACATGGGTGTTTATAGCAGCTTTTTTCATAATTGTCAAAACTTGGAAGCAACCAGGATGTTCTTCAGTAGGTGAATGGACAAACTGTGGTACATCCAGACACAAGAATATTATTCAGTGCTAAAAAAGAAAGAAGCCAATCTGCAAAGTTTATGTACTGTATGATTCCAACTACATGATATTCTTGAAAAGGCAAAATTAAAGAGACAAAAGATCCGTGGTTGCCAGGGACTGGTGGGGAAAGTGGGGAGGGATGAATAGATGAAGCACAGAGGATTTTTAGGGCAGTGAACATATTCTGTATAATACCATAAGGCTGGATACATGTCATTATACATTTGTTCAAACCCATAGAATGTACAACATCAAGAGTGAACCCTAATGTAAACTATGGATTTTGAGTGGTAATAATGTATCAATGTAGGTTCATGAATTACAACAAATGTACCAATGTGGTATGGGATATTGAAGTGGGAGAGCCTGTGCATGTGTTAGGAAAGAGATATATGGGAAATTTCTATACCTTCCACTCAATTTTTCTGTGAACATAAAACTGCTCTAAAAAATAAAGTTTATTAGAAGTAGAAAAACGGACAAAAATAATATTGATAAAATTATAGGCCACTTTCATTTGTGAATACAAATATAAAAATCTTTCTAAAAATTTTACCAAGTAAAATCCAATAGTGTATTACTATATCACGACCAATTGGGATTTACCATAGTAAAACAAGAAAATTTTGATATTAGGAAATGTTATTAATGTAATTCCCTATGTTACCAGATTAACGTAAAAAAGCTCATGATCTTTCAATAGAAGCTGAAAAAAGTGTTAGACAAAATTCAGTACCCATTTGTGATAAAAAAAAATCTTTTAAGCTAAAGATAGGAAGAAATATCTTTAATAAAGTATGAGTTATAGTCAAGAACTGACAACAAGCTCCATACTTAATAGTAAAATATTACCATGACAATCGGAAATAAAACATAGTCACCATCTGCACTAATGTTTGTCAATGTATAAACAAGAAAAAGGAATAAAAGGAATAAATACAGGGAAAGGAGGCAATAAAATTGAAATTATTTCCAGGGAAATGATCATCTAACTCAAATTTTAGAAAATAATCAGTGTGAATTTTGTGATGGTTATGCATTACTAACTTATTTGCACAGTAAAACCAACTAGTGTATTTAAAAATGAATATTCAATGTATTAGGGTAATAAACTTTAAAACTTTGGTTCTCTCTAAGCCTTTAAGTTCAACTTACAAATCTTGCTTTTCTTTTTGTAAGTATTGTTAAATATGAACAATCACCTTCACCTTTTTAAAAAAAATGTTTGAGTAACTTAAGTTTTATAGACTAAATTCTTTAAAAATTAGTTCCTTTTTTAAGATTTATTTATTTATTTTAGACAGAGTGAGAGAGAGAGAGCATGAGCAGGAGGGGCAGAGGAAGAGGGAGAGAGAATCTCAAGCAGACTCTACCTCAAGTGCAGGGCCCAAGGCCGGGCTCCATCTCACGACCCTCATCAGGACCTAAGCAGAAAGCAAGAGTCTGATGCTTATCTGACTGTACCACCCAGGCGCCCCCACAATTAGTTCTATTTATACCTTACACTCTCTTAAAGGAAATAAAATGTACTTACAACTTTGATAAATTTATTTTTCTTCAAAACCTTAAACATGCCTGTTGTAATAAGCAAAACCTTTCTAAGTATGTATACAACTTTTGTAAATCAAATAAATTAAACCTGTAAGTGTGGCATAGCTCATATTATTTAACATTCCAATACTGTTTACAGATTTGGTAAATTTTCTTTCATATTTCAAAATAAATCCCTAATTCTTTTTTTTTTTTTTGTAGGCCAGGGAGGGACAGAGGGAGAGGGAGAGAGAGAATCTAAAGCAGGCTCCACACCCAGCGGGGAGCCAGGCACAGGGCTTGATGTCACGACCCTGAGATCATGACCTGAGCCAAAATCAAGAGTCAGACGCTTAACTGACTGAGCTACCCAGGTACCCCAAAATAAATCCCTAATTCTAAAGTCGGTTATTCAGCTACACATTTCAAATTGAAATCACAAGCCTAATCCATCAGAAACCTAATGGCCGTTCAAATCCAAATCTACCCAAATTATGCTAAATATAACACAAAATAATTTAAGTTTTATTTTCTTTAGAATATATTAAATTCTAAACTTCCATGAGATTGGAAACACACTGCCTCAAGGGGTCAGTTTTACCACTGCTAGCAAACTGGGTTTTATCATCTCAAGTAAACATAGGTTAAGAGAAAGGAACCTGGGATCTGTATATCCAGTGTGATTCTCCCCTTATCACCAATAGACACCTTGAGCGCCTTTCACTGTTGCTATGACAACAGGGACTCCAAGTATAAACCCTTCAAATGGGATTCCTTTCTCTTGGGTTCAAGTTATACAATACCCAGTTCTTCCATCTGATTTAAGTCCACAACCTCCTACTGAGGTTGCTGATAACTGTCCACCTAAACTCTTTACTGCCTGATCGAATTCTGTATTTACATGTTCTTTCTCTCTGGTTAGATTTGAAATCTTACAGATACTTAAAGGACACATGAATATATTTCACACCTTTGGCTCTAAGGTCAAAATATCAGTCATACTAACAAGAGTTTTCAGAGAGGAGTGAAGAGAATTAACTAAAGGAATTTTTAATAAAATGGCTGGATATAAGATATTTGTAGTATCTCTACACCAGCAATTAGGAAATGTAATAGCAAAAGCAACAAAAACTATAAAATATCAGGAATAAATCTATCAAGAAATGTGTAAAAACTATGTAAGTAATACTTTAAAACCTTATTCAAGAACATAAAAGAAGACCTCAATAAATGAAGATGGAAGTTATGTTTCTGGATGAGGAGGTTTAACACTGTAAGGCTACCACATCAGTTGCAAATTAATAAATTCAAATTTTTATGAAATTTGAAAAGTGATTCTCAAACATACCAGATTTTTAAAAATGAATGAGGAAAAATGAGGTGGAACTTGACTTATCTGGTATCAAGTTATTCTATAAAGCTATAGTAATTAAAGTAAAATACTATTAACTCCTATATAAAGAGAACAATTGAACAGAATAGAAAATCTCCAAACAGATGAAGAAATGAATTGGAATTTAGTTTATAATAAAAATGGTATTTTGGGGCACCTGGGTGGCTCAGTTATTTAAGCATCTGCCTTCGGCTCAGGTCATGATCCCAGGGTCTGGGATCAAGTCCCGCATCAGGCTCCTCGCTCGGTGGGGAGTCTGCTTCTCCCTCTGCCTCTCTCCCCATCTTGTGCTCTCTCTCTCTCTCTCTCCCTCAAATAAATCAAATCTTTTAAAAAATGGTATTTTTAACCAAAGAAGAAAGAATGAAATGGTGTTGGAACACTTTGGAAAAATAAATATATATATCTATTCACACTACAATAACTCCAAATGAATTAAAAACATCTTGAAAAAACAAAATTGCAAGAGTATTAGAAGGAAAGATGGAGAAATATTTCACTGGGGTAAGGTCTTCCTAAGCAACACACAAAACCTAGAATCCACAAAGGAAAAAATACTGCTTTTTCTCCCATAAAAATATAAAGTTTTCCTCAAAGGCACCATTTAAAAAGTTAAATTCAAACACAAATAATAGACTGAGATAAAAATATTTGTCAAACATGTAATTAACAATTAGTATCCACAAAATAAAAACGTACCTCACAAATACAAAGAAAGATGAATAACCCAATTGAAAAATAGGGAAAGAATGTGAATAGGTCATTAACAGCAGAAAAGTACAAATGGTCCACAAACATAAAAAGTTGGGGAGGGGCGCCTGGGTGGCTCAGTCGTTAAGCATCTGCCTTCAGCTCAGGTCATGATCCCAGGGTCCTGGGATCGAGCCCCGCATCGGGCTCCCTGCTCGGCGGGAAGCCTGCTTCTCCCTCTCCCACTCCCCCTGCTTGTGTTCCCGCTCTCGCTGCGTCTCTCTCTGTCAAATAAATAAATAAAATCTTTAAAAAAAAAAAAAAAGTTGGGGAGCCTTGCTCCTTATGAAGGAAATGCAAATAAAAACAACACTGTGATGTCATTTTTTACTCAGTGGATTGGAAAAAAATTTAACTTGATAATATCCAACATCAGCAAGTGTGGGGGGGAAGTAAATGCCATCAGACAGTCCTGGTAGAAATGTAAATTGATATCTTTCGGGCAGTATCTGTCTACACGAATGGATCTTTGACCCAACAAGCATTCTACGTTGAAGAAATATTTGTGCCTGCAGAGATGTTAGAAAAAATTCCTCTTTATACAATTTAAAGATCCATCAGTAGAAATATGGTTGGATAAATTATATCAGTATGATGTGCACCTATTAAAAAGAAAAACACATTCAGTCAAAACAAGTATATCGAATAACACATGTATTGTGACTCCATTAAAAAAAGCAAATGAACACCAAAATGTATATGGTTACATGTCCCTGTATTTATGGCAATGTATAGAGAAAGGACTAGAAATTTACAGACCAAATTGCTGACTTTGGATCGTCTTTTGGGAGGGGAGTTGGAATATTGGAGAAGAGGGTTGTTTTTATAAGTATCTGACTTCTTTAATTCAAAACCTTTTCAGCTGTCATAGCTTTTGGCTAAATAATCAATAAAATTACCTCCTTGTTTCTCTAGGATGTTCTCCTGGATTTATCTCAGAGCTCCATTAGCAGATGCTACAGACAAGTGGGATCTGAAAGGATGCAGCATTCGGAATGGTCTCCCCATCGTGGACAGGTTAGCTTTGGGAATTGTTGGGGCGTGGTTTATTGATTCATATATTCGTCATTCTTTCATTCTGTAAATAGTATGCTGATGAAGCTAGACTCACAGAGAGTTAACATTTATTTAGCAGAGCTAGCCCCACTTTCAAAGTCTGGATTAAAATCTTGGCTGTGCTGGTTCACCGATCACTCTGGCGGAGGGGGGAAAATATCCTGCAGTCACTTGTGTCATAATCATGGCCTCAATTGAGTAATTAATTGTCCAGTCCTATGTAGTAATCAAAGTCTGAATTTGTGTCAGGTTAAATCACCTTTCTTCCCCTGGCTGAGTCGTGCTTCTGCTTGGCCCTTCAGAGTGGAAGAGGGATTGCTGTCCATTTCTTACCAGCCTCTCATTTCTCCTCCTCTCCCCCCTGACTATGCAGGGGACCCAGCGGTGGGGAAGACGGGGGACTTGACAGGTTCTCACTTGACCGTTGCTGTCATAAGCTGACTCTGCCATCTCTGGACCTTATAAGTTCTTCTGTGGGTTCCTCAGAGGCTCCCCTGCAGGGCCTCTTCAAGTTCAACTCCTTTGAAGTGGGCAGTGTCCCTTCTTTGGCTGGTCACTCTGCAGCCTCACCGATTGCTCGGCTTCCGCATTCTTCCACTTTCATCTGATCTCTGGCAGAAGCTTAGACAGGGCAGGGCTCCATTTTTAAGGACATTGGGACAGCATTCTTCTGTGGATTTCACACATTTGGGGGGCTCTCACGGCACTGCCTTGCAGTTATTACTACTTGGAAAAACACCCATCAGGCTCTCCAGATGCTCCCTTTGGAGCCCCTCTCACTAGAACTAGGATAAGGAGCAGGTACTTCTCTCTCTCTCTCTCCCCCCTAGTGGTAGGAGGGCTAAGCAGTGGGAGCCACAGTCAGAAGTGGACCACAGGAAATCCTCTTCTCCAAAGCCCCACTTTAGGCACTTTCAAGGGATGGATCCGAAAGCCCAGTGAATCAGAACCTCACCGAGGCTTTGTCTCTGCCCTTTTAAGCCCGCATTATGGGTGAACACATCCACAGTTGAGAAATCAGTTCTTAACATTTTCTTTAAGTGTTTACATCTTGGTTAGCAGCTTCTGCTGGATTTCCTTTCTGTTTCATCTTGGTGCCTCAGTAGAAAATTTCAAATTAACATCCTGTTTCCATTTGTTTGCTTGTCTATTGTAGCAAACAATTATTGAGTACCTTTGGTATGCCAGCTATAGCTACAGTGATGAATCCTTTGAGAGCTTTAATTCCTATGAACAAGAGAGGAAAACAAAAAAGAATAGTTTTATCTTCAGTCTGTGTTTAGGAACCCAAGTTCAGAAATGCCATTTGTTCTCCTTACCCTCACTGGTGCTTTGTCTTGTTTTCTTGGAGCAGAAGCTCTTGTACCACAAAATGTATTTGGGTTAGCCTTGATCAAAACACTTACTTCTTGGGTGCCTGGGTGGCTCAGTTGGTTAGGCGACTGCCTTCGGCTCAGGTCATGATCCTGGAGTCCTGGGATCGAGTCCCGCATTAGGCTCCCTGCTCGGCGGGGAGCCTGCTTCTCCCTCTGACCCTCCCCCCTCTCATGTGCTCTCTCTCTCTCATTCTCTCTGTCTCAAATAAATAAGTAAAATCTTTAAAGCAAAACAAAACAAAACAAAAACATTTACTTCTGGACAAAGAAAGAAATGAAGAACTAGCATCTTCTTTGTAACACACATTGAGCTTGGGAATCATGAATAAAATTGATAGTAACTGAGTTTTGGAGTAAGATATACATGGATGTCAATCCTGGTTTCACTATAGTGCAAGGGTCTTAATCTTTCTAAGTTTTATCAGTAGTGTGGTGTGATGGTTAATTTTATGTATCAGTCTGACTAGGCCATAGCGGGCCTAGACATTTGGTCAGATATTACTCTGAGTGTGTCTGTGAGGATATTTCTGCATGAGATTAATATTTGAATTGATAAACTGAGTAAAGCAGATTGCCCTTCTTTCCACATGTTAATAATAATGGCAACAGAACCACTACCCAGTCTGCATCGGTCACCGTGCCAGACACTGAGAGTGATGAACACTGATAAGCCCCCTTCCCTTGTGAGTTTGTGAGTTTACATTCAGGTGGTAGGGTGAGGGGGACAGAGAAAAACAAAGAAAAACAAAACACAACCAACAACTAGAGAGTAAATAACTGAATAGAAAACTAACAAACTGCAGATGTGGCAGGAAGGAAATAAAAAGGTGATGAGAGAGAATAATGGGGTGTGGAGGGGACTTTAATAGGTAGTAAGGAAGGATACAAAGGGGAGGTGACGTTTAACCTGAAACTGTGAGGATGGGAAGCAGCCATCCACTCACAGGATGAGGAGGAACATTCCAGACAGAAGAACAGAGTCCCGGAGGCAGAAAGGCATTGGCCCATTCAGGGAACTGAGAGAAAACCAGTGAGTGTGGGACAGAGTAGGGGAGGGAGAGAGTGCTACTAGGTAAGGTAATAGAGAAATGGGGAGGAGTCAAGCCTTGCAGGGCCATGGAAACCATACTACAGAGTTTGGATTTTATCCTAGGTGTTATGAAACCAAAACATATCTTAGGATGGAGAGTAACATGAGCCAAATTCCATTTTAAGAAGATCTAGCTTTCTTGCTGTGACAGAGAGAATGGGTTAGAGGGGGACCAGAGTAAAGGCAGGTAGAAAAGTTTGCATTGGTGTTGCTTGAACAAGCAAGATTTGATGGTGGTCCCAGTTATGGTGAGGGAAATGTGGAGGAAGTAGCAAATTTATATTATAACTCAGAGATAGAATTAATAGGATTTGCTAATGGATTAGATGTGAGCTGAGGAAGCTGGGACAAGGGAAGGATCGTCTTGATTTCCAGGTTTAGCAAATGAGTGGATGATAATGCCATTGTCTCAGGGGAGCAATTCTGAAGACATGGTAGGAGGGCAGAATTAGGGAGGGAAGAGGAGTTTTGTGTTGGGTGTATCAAGTGTGATATTTCTGTAGAGATGTAAATAAGGCTACTAAATATGTTGGCATGTGCCAGTGGTTCTCAAACTTCAGGGAGCGTCAGAAACACCTGCAGGGCTTGATAAAAGATTGCTGGGCCCACCTCCAGAGTTTCTGGTTGAGAAGGTTTGGGTGGGGCCTGTGAATTTGCATTTCTAACAAGTTCCCAGGTGATGCTGTTCCTGCTGGTCCAGGGTTTCTACTTGAAGAATCACTGGTCTAGACAGAGGATAATTCTAGGAGTCTGGAAGTCATCAGCCTGAAGATAACATTTAAATCCATGGGACTAGATGAGATTGCCTAATGAGGTTGTGGGGAGAAAGGAGAGAAGAAGGTCCCGGATTAAGTTTTGAGAGGGATTAGAGAAGAAAAACCCAATAAAGGCAGGATCAGAGAAGAAGGAAAATGAAGAAAGCGTGGAGTTTCAGAAGCCAGAGGGGTTGAAAATTTCAGGTCCAGATTGCCTGAACATGACAGATACTGTTGAGAAGCAGAATAAGAAGGGGGCAGTGAAGTGCCCATCATTTTACCAATATTAGAACTTCTGTGAAGGGCAAGTACTTTACAAACAGTATCTCTCTGAATTCTTCACAAATCCCATGAAAGGAGTACAGTTAGCTGAATTTTATAGTTAAGGGAAGTGAGGCTCAGAGATGATACAGTTTGTTAGGGCAACAAAGGGTCTAAAGCCCACGTTTCTTCTGCTAGCATCCTAGGGAAGGCGATGCTCACTGCATCCTCTACTTGTGGCTAAAATCTACAAGGCAAGCCAACCTTTGGCAAAACCTTGAAGGAGACATGCTGCTCACTCCTCCCCAAGGCATTCACTACCCCCTGGCTGCTTCCAGACAGTTGCAACAGCATGCTCACCCGCCGTCCTGGTTGACTCCCTGTGCCTTCCATACTCAAGACCCACCTGGACTTCAGTCCTTGGCAATAGCATAAACCTGTCTTATTACCAAATGATAATGGATCAAAGTGGGTGCTAGTTGGTGGTGTGCAGTAAAGACTTCACAATCACCTTTCTCAAAGCGAGGGGAGGCCCTGATTTGCAGCATTTGGTGATTTCAAGGCACCACGGGCTGATTTCAGGCTCCGGTGTGATGGGAACGTGGAGTTGGGAAGAGATGCACATAGTTGGCTCTCTCAGGCCCCTGTGAGCTGGATCCAGCACACTGCTGGAATGATTTAACATGTTGATTTTCATGTCACATATTTCCATTCTACACACAGGCTTCTGGAGACAATGTCTTAACCACAAGTTGTGGGAACTCCAGGCCATCTGCCCAGCCACGGGGGGAGATGTGCAGAATAGGGAGGCCAGTGTGCAGCCTCTAAGCCATAACTCAGAGGCAGTCACCTGCTTCCTCAATGTCCGATCTCACCCAGGAGCAGAGGGAATGTCGGTTTAAAAACTGGCATCCATATCCCTCTTTGGTTTCCAGGGTTCAAAAATGTTCTTTTATGAGGATTACAGGCTTGTTCTTCTTTGGTGTCAGCAGGCGTTTATGATGGCTGTAGCAGGAATGAGAATTTGGGTCTGGAATAAGCCTCGCTGTTTCTTGCCAGGCTGCAAAGGTTTATGGTGGAGACCAGACACATGTCTTGCTCACGCCCATATGCTACTCTGTATCCGGAATCAGAGAGGAGGCCACATCCTCACACAGGCAGGAATGGCAGCCGAGGGCTCAGTCCTGAGGCACAAGGGAATTTTAACTTCCTCATGTAACTTCCATTTGCTCTTAGCCTTTTATTCCTAAAAGCACAGGTCTCAGAAGTGGTCTCTGGGGAGTTACGTGATGTGAGATTATGGTGGATAGTGTTGTAATGTTACCTCACACCACTTAAGGGGAGGGAATCTAGTCGGTGGGGAACGGGGACAAGTGGGAGGAAGCAGGGGCCTTAATGGGAAGAGGACAGGAGCATCGAGAGCTGGAACTTGGCACTACTGATGTGGGAGGGGGAGAACGGGGCTGTGAGGTGGGCTGA